GGATTCATTAAGTTCACCATTCGTTCATTTATCCACTCAAACAAATGTTTATGATTCAATAACAGTGGCATTGCTATCATTTTCCTAATCTTCACAATATCTGTCAAGTTGTATTAGGATAAGTTGGTTTTTAAAATTAAGAAGAGATGAAATTGATTTTCAGATGCATTTTCTCTTCGAAAGTATAGTAACTTTTTCTCGTAGTTTGTATTTTTCAAATTCCTGCACAAAATTTAGGTCGATTATTTAATTGTGTTTGAATAGGAGTTTTGACTAAAACGTACTTTAATGTCGAAATGAGTTTGTGAATTGCAATAAATCGCTGTAAGCCTGTAACCAAAGCTGGCAAAGCACCAACTGAGAATGTCCGTTCTGCATAACAGACATTACTACGTATAGACATATGCAGCCCCTAAAAGTCAATGGGGTGTGTCAAGTTAAACATTAAACACCATGTTGTATGCAACAACAAAGTATACTTAACTGTATTTATGTGTCCTGTCTGAAGTGACAGATAAGGACGTCGTAATATAATGATAACTAAATTAATCTTCCTCGATCTTCTTGCTAAGGCATTTCGTTAGTGTTCCCCGAGTTTGACTAATGAGTAATGGTCGCATGTCGCGGGTAGAAAGTCGCGGGTTGTAAAAAAGCTCCAAACCGTGTATTTTATTGAGTCGCGCGAGTTGAATAAGGTGTGTAAAAATCACGTTATCATTTAGTAAACAACTTTATAAAGGATTGCTTCAATACGAAACATTGCCCAAGAGGCTTTAGTCATGATTTAATGGTTCTATTCTTGGGCTTCACTGCTGCATTATGCAGTGAATTTGACGGGGGGTCAACCTCAAATGTACACCTGTATGGATGCTTATGCTGTAGTGGAGTGCGAAATGATACGAAATTGAATGTATTTGCAATCAAACACAAAGCTAATTAATACATAAAACAAACAATCGAGTCACTCTGATAACTGTGTTTTGTTTTAGAGTTGACCCCCCGTCACTTCTGTGACGTCACGTGTAACCTAAGAATATAGATAGCTAAACGTGCCAGAAGCCTAAACCTGAAAGTATAATTTCAATATGGTAAACCAGCAATTATACCATGACAAAAATCCTCTAATAAAATGATGTGTTCTGAAAGAAACAAACAAGACGTGTTTGCTACAAAGTGTCAAAATTATGTGAAATGCCTCTCATCTCACGAGACATTATTTCTTAACAGACGTTATAATGCGTCTACGAGTAGACATAGGCTAGTAGTTGTGAACCGACGAATAGATTGTCTTCCATCCTTCGACGTACTAACTAAAGGGTGGTTTTAATTCAGACAGTGCGTAAAATAACATCAGCCCGGTCCAGCCGTTCTGTGGTATGACAACAGGATAAACATTTAACTTCACGCTTACTGTACGTATTACACAATTCAATTGCAAATATTATAATTGCAAATTATTTGGTTAAAATTCAGAATAAAAAGGCATAAATAAAAAGCCGCATTTTTCGTTTACATGCAGGCATTATAAAATGTAACGTAATACCATAGGATGCATATGCCAGGATATCGAAGAGTACTGAAGTATTAAATTTAACTCGTGACCTTCGAAATGATACTGTATGTATAGCCTTGATCTTTCAAAATTGTTGTCAAATTTACTATATTAAAAAAAGCGGTCTACCTAGACAGGCTAGACTCACAAATTTCATTCTGCTTTTGCAAACTTGCTCCTGTATACCAGGTCTACTGCCAGGCACGAAATAATCCTACAAGGCCAGGATATTGTTCTCTCTATTAAGCCCCCCTCTCGGGAATAACTTATGAAGGAATACTATGGTACATATATACGCATTGCATATATACGTTAATATTGAATAACACTATAATACTATGAAAAACCATAAAATAACTACAGGAATAATAACGTGATTTTTACACACTTTAGTCGACCCACGACTCACTGATGACTACAGTTGAGATGAGAGGCATTTCACATAATTTTCGGTAGCGAACACGTCCATGTTTCTTTTTCAGAGCACATTTTCTTATTAGATGATTTTTGTCACGCTATAATTGTTGGTTTAACATATTGGAATTATACTTTCAGGTTTTAGATTTCTGGCACGTTTATATAGCTAGAACCATTAAATCATGACAAAAGGCTCTTGGGCAATGTTTCGTATTGAAGCAATCCTATATAAAGTTGTTTACTAAATGATAACGTGATTTTTACACACTTTATTGACACACGCGACTCAATAAAATACACGGTTTGGAGCTCTTTTACAACCCGCTACCCACCCGCGATCCGCGACATTTTACCCGCGACACGCGACCATTAGTCAAACTCGTGTTCCCCAAGATCTTGGCCGCAGTTCCTGGTTGGAGTGAACATGAGGATTCGGTATAATTAAGCAACGGAATAAAGCATGGGCATACAGTGGCTGACTATTTGATAATACAAATGAATGCATCTATAAGTGATCAAGTTTACGAATTCTAGTTTGGCACTTTGGCAATATGGATCGTTTTGGGGACCGTTCATTATTTATAGAAGGGATTGGTACCGAAGAGAAGCGAAACTAGACACTCAACCTCAACAATGGTCAAAATAATGTTTACCCAACCCATGTGTTACTGAACTGTACTTCATAATAATTAAATTACACAAGATTATAGTGACAGAAATCAAGTTGCCTAAATTCTAAATTAAAGCTCACTCACACTCAAACTCACCGAGTCTGCCAAAGCAATCACGTTTCTACTGAACAATGATAGAATCCTTCTGGCTTCCTCAATCACAGATGGTCTATTTTGGTAAAGAATGTATTGTATACATTTTTGTTCATATTTGCCAATGCATGGTAATTTTGGATTTATTTTGGATTTAGGTGACTGACAGCCATAATTTGTTTTACCCAACCCGTGAGCTAGTCAAAAACTTGATTACCCAAACCATACCTCTTCGGACCAACTCCGCGGGTATAAATAATGAACGGTCCCTTAGCCGAGAAAATCGGAAGTTTATGTACATCAGGTATTTGAAATACAGCTATTGATTAAATATTAATTTCTTTCCAATTTTCTTCATGATTCATTGCCAATTTTGCTCCTTTTCTAAAGCCTAGCTACGCAGTCGCCAGTCTTGATATAGAAAAGGCTTCCGAGTGAGGAAGGACAATGCTAAGGACATACTCATACACGTCAAAGCAAGCTTAAATTTCTCGTGATGTTTGCCTATTGATCATAAATATATTAGCATTTAACAGTTAGACAGATAAGATCACAATTTTACGACATTTGTCGATAGTTGTTTTAATTAATATGTGCTGAGTGATTGTACCGTGTGTGTATACTAATGTAACTTTGATACAATTCATAGTTATTTTTAATCAAGGTCAAAAAGTCACCAAAATCAGCCGGAAGATTGCCGGAATGATGCCGTATTGACATAAACTAGTATGATCCAAAAACTTTCGTAACTTTAATGCCTTTTAAGGACAATTTTCCTTTCTGTGAGCTCACGGAAACCGGAAAATGTCATTAGCCTCGTAGCCTTCTTGCAGCGTCAATAATGGGTGCAAATTACTTTTGTATCTATGTAATTTATGTACCCATACCAGGGCAGCGTACATTAGAAATGGGTAGATTACGGAGTATAGTAAACTTGAATCAAGATATTAATTGAGACAAAATCACGAAATTTAAATAATTAAATATGCCATTTTTCGCTCGCTACTCTGGTTTAAATAAATGATTACAAAGCCCATTCGAATTGTAATCAAGACCCAACGTTTCGACATTCCAGTCCAGTGTCTTCATCAGGGGTGATCTAAAATTGGCAGGTGACGTCATCCCTTAGGTATTTAAGAAGCCACGTTTGCAATTTTAGATCACCACTGATGAAAACAGTTAGAACCTTTTTTATAGATTGGCATCACTCTAGCTAATTTAAGTAATTGATCAGGCACGCAACACTTGTTGAAAATGGCAATTAAAGAGATAAGCAAGTGGGCCAGATAAGAAAAATCTCAACATTTTTAACAATGGACCTTATACATAACGATGTCCCAAGGCTTGATGACCGCGAAAAATGCTGGTCTTTTTTTATTTTTTTATTAGTTTTACAATACGAAATTGAATGCACAGACAACGGGACTAATAAAGTCCCAAACTAAGTCCTGCATAAAGTCTTAGTAGTCATCGCCCGGAAAAAATAAACAATTTAAAATGATCACTATCAAAATTTTTCCCGTGCGATGACTATTAAGACAAGCATTCCTCAGGGTCATCAAGTTCGTGACGTCATTATACATACAGTATAAGGTCTATTGAGTAGGATTATAAGATTATTAATTTCCTCGTCAACTTCTGAAGCACTTACAGGAGAAAGGGATAAAAACTGTGACAAAATGAATTGTTAAGAAATGTCTCAAATGAAATATCTATTATCGCTATAATATTATTTTAGCAATACTTGAACCAATATTAGAAAGATAATTATTAAAGATATTTGCAATTGATTTTGAATTAATCAGTTTTAAGTTTTATACTTCCAACAAATTAGGAACTGAGCGAGGCTGGTCTTTCAGTGTTATCATCTGCTTAATACCTTTCCATATATTTTTTATATTGTATTTATTATATGCGAATTTTTATTATAATAGGATTTTTTTGCTAACCAATATAAGTGTTTTAATTTTATTGCTATAAGTTTTGAATTTAGAAAATTAAATTTTTTTTTAAAATTTAATGTACCACAATTCGCAAAGTTTTATTATTTTTAGCAATAGAAAATCTAATACCATTTGTAATCCAATGTTTGGCTAATATCCGGCCTTCTTTCTCTGATAATTTATGTACAGGTGCATGCCATATTACTAGAATAATATAGGATTCACATCTTCAGTTTCAGGCCGGACATATAAAACTATAAATGTGTAAATTTGGCAAATTGGAAGATTGGATAAACATAATTTTTTCATCCATGTTCTTTAGATATGAAGATTTCAAACATTTTGCTATTGTTCATCATGCTAGCAGTTGTAGAATCTATTACAGGTAATTCTACACTGCAAAAACGGATTGGTTAAAATAACCCATTGGTTGTCTCATATTATTTGGTCAAAACAACGGAGAAATTTAAGAGAGCTTGCCTGTAAGAATCACAGAATGTGTGGCAGAGATGAAAAATTGAAAGTTCTTCAATTCATGGCCAGAAATTCAGGACATGCGCCCGCAATATATCTCAGCGGTTTTTCCTCTGAAAAGTTATTTATACCTAACACACGCAAGTTTTAACTAAAAAAATACATTTTGCTTAGTTTTTTGTTTAACTAAAGCAGAAAAATAGATATAATAGGTATTGTCGGCCTTTTACATACCTTTCATTTATTATGATGGGATATAAAGTGATGCGCATGGTAAACGACTCAAATATTTTGTGTATACATCGCTATCCCTCTGTGTAACCCGCACTGGAAGAAAGCCTGGTTCCTAAGCTTCTTGTTGATATCAAACATGGACGACAATTCATTAAACATCGTTCTTCTTGCAATGTTTTACGGTCTATGGACAGGGTATTTATGGGTAAAATATCAACATTTTGTCCCGTAAATTGGAACAAGTTAAAAAATTCGTATCACTATGAAATTATGTAGACAAGCAGGGGACAACATATATTTTACGACGCGAAGTCTGCAAATTTCACGAAGGGTTCGAGGGATACATGCGGCCAGAGCAAAATGTACGTTTTCAACGATTTTCTCAAGTTTTATTATACTTTATTATACGCCGATGTACTATGAAGTGAACTTGAATAATGGAACAACTTATAGGTAAGATTTCGATGCGAAACTTTTCTGTTTTATGGTCCAGATATAATTTATAATATTGCGAAGTCTGCAAATGACATAGCTATTATCAAACACGTTTAAATTGAAAAAAACCGCGCCACTCCTAATGATTTATATATAACAAATCCGCCATTTTGTTTGTGAAAGTTCGCACATGCTCAGAATCCATGTCCGCAATTTCTGGCCATGCCCTCGTTTTAATATATATTGTAGACCTATCCAATCCCACACATTTACTGAAGATTCAGCCATCAAACAAAAAATGAAGGAAAGTTAGAGCACTTCAAAAATCGAACCAAAAATGACGCGAAATGTCCAAGAAATTACGCTATATAAAGCAGTCAACATCATGTACTGTGCTGAGCGCGCATTATAAGTTTTTGCTCTGCTGTTACAATATATGTCTTTAGAATATATGGAACTTTCTCGTGATATCTTTTCTCCATAAATCGAAACTTATTGACTTGGTTATTTTAGATCAAAGATGGTTGAAATTTCCGGGTTTTTCAAACTAGCCAAAGTACGTCTTGTGAATCGCCTATTTAAATATGGTCCTACTTTCTTTATAAATGTAGATATGCATAATTTGTTAGGGATAGGATTTAGTCATTCGACGACGATTTCAGATGTTTGAGATTCTTTCGTGTCTTGGCGAAATTTGATCTTAAACATGTCAATATTAGCGTAATGGGCAATTCCAGCTATAGACTAAATTTTGATTTGGGGCAAGAAAAACAAAATCCATCAGCACAGCTAGAAAGAGCATGATAAAATTAGTAAAATTACAAAGTTTGGTTGCAAAATGTTGGAAAATGAGGAAAATATAGCCCTGCGAAATTTGCAAATTTTGTATTAATTTGTCCGCAATAGACCATTTGCGTAACAGACTAAATTTTGATGTAAACAAGTTTAGACAAAAATTTCATCCCAGCTTGAAAGAGCATCACAAAATTAGTGATATTCCAAAGTTTCGTTGCGAAATGTTGTAAAATGCGGTAAATATAGCCTTGCGAAGTTTGCAATTTTCAGTCATTTTAGATTACAAACGGGAAATTGACAGCCTTGAAGGGTTTGGGGCTGTCAATTTCCCGTTTGTAATCTAAAATGACTGAACATTGCAAACTTCGCAAGGCTATATTTTCCGCATTTTACAACATTTCGCAACGAACCTTTGGAATATTACTAATTTTGTGATGCTCTTTCAAGCTGTGATGATTTTTTTGTTGAGATCAAAATTTAGCCTATTGCGCAAGTGGTCAATTGCACCACTTTCGGCCCAAATGTGGTATACAAAATTTGCAAATTTCGTATTGCTATTATTTTCCTCATTTTGCAACATTTCGCGGCCAAACTTTGCAATTTTACTAATTTTAACATGCTCTTTCTAGATGGATTTTGTTCTTCTTGCCTAGATCAAAATTTAGTCTATATGATCTGTAGCTGGAATTGCCCATTGAATCTGTGAATATTATTTCTTAAATTTTTTTCAAAACGATTCTGTGTTTACTGTAGTCGTCACTGAGAACACACGCTTAACTCTTAAATATCGGTCATGCGTTTTTAAATTAACTCAAATTTACACTATGAAAAACACAATCATGCAGATATGCAAATACTATACAAATATAAATAAAAACGTTGTCGTTGAATGGAAAATCAGCTGAAAAAGGTTAGAATGCAGCTGATGGTAAGCGTGATCGTTTCTAGAGTGCCTGCGACGAATTATGTCGTGGTCTAACACGTAAAGAAAAAAACAGTTCCAAGATTGTTTACAAGATAAAATAATATTATTATTAATAAAATATTATTTGATTTGTAACCTACGCTGTTATAAACCCGGAAGTAACTTTCTCAACACAGTTGTAAATAAACGCACGCAGCGGGACTAATTGTCCACTGTAGTTTAATATTGCAACTGAAACTGTCTGATAATGTTACATTGGTTTGTTATAGTTCTTGAAAGTCCATTGTATTTTTCGTATTTCCTTAGCTTTATCTCGATTAAGTTTTAATTTAAATTACACGGAAATATTTAACTAAGAGTCTAAGTGTTTTCCCAATCACCAAATGTAATGTATTTCCACCGACAAAAATATTAATGGGAAGAATTGTTTCTGCTCTACCATCATATTAATTTGGTACAGCTCATTACAAGTATTGCAGCAATCACTTGAAACTGAACTGAACCATTTACTACAGACATAAAAAAACAGGCAGTCGCGAGACTGCACGTGCTACTGTTGTTTACAAACAATATAACAATGCACGGAAAGTATTACATGTAACCAGACACAGTTCTATAATGCCCTAGTATCTTCTAGGGACAAACCTATAAAACAAACCGGTGCCCTAGTGTCTTCTAGCGACAAACCTAAAACAAAGTCAAAACCGTCGACACTAAAGTGCATGACAGAATAAATAGTTGCATATTGACAACAGTTTGTCCTGAAGCGGGATTTCAAGGCCCCCCTCCCCTATTGGCAGACCCCCCCCCCTCATTGTTGAAACCCGTCGGAAAATTGGAAATTTGTTATGTTGTCGAATCGATAGGTAAGAAAAATTATTTCAAAGTATGTGTAATAAAATGCAAGTCGACATGAATGTATCGATAGGAAATGTAAACAATTAAATATGCAGCGTCAGCAGCAATAAAAATAATTATTACCTTAGAGATGAGATGAAGTAAATATGCTTGTGATTCCGCATAAACGTACAAACTCACAGACAGAATCAGTAAAGCCGGTGTCAAACTTGGACGGGCACCGCAATTTAAAGCCATGTAACCTTGGGGCTGCGGCTATGTTTTTTACGTTCGAAAAAAGTTAAAATGCATGCTTGGTCGTTCGTGCGTACGTGCGTGCGCGCAGTATGGATACACATATACTGTAGACAAAGTAACTTGAATGCAAAGAAAATCATTAAGAAGTAAACTCTGTGTTCTCAGTGTCATTTACAGTAAAGCATGTTAACTTTTTGAATAGAACAAGCGTAAGATATTGGAATCGTAACGCGCCGGTTAATAAAATCCAAGCACGCAATTACGCTAATATTGTACATGTTTAAGATCAAATTTCGCCAAGACACGAAAGAATCCCAAACATCTGAAATCGTCGTCGAATGACTACATCCTAGCCCTAACGAATTATGCATATGTACCTTTATAAAGAAAGTAGGACCATTTTTAAATAGGCGATTTCCAAGACGTACTTTGGCTAGTTTGGAGAATCCGGAAATTTCAACCATCTTTGATCTAAAATAACCAAGTCAATAACATTTCGATTTATGGAGAAAAGATATCACAAGAAAGTTCCATATATTCTAAAAACATATATTGGAACAGCAGACCAAAACTTATAATGCGCGCTCAGCACAGCACATGATGTTTACTGCTTTATTTACCGACATTTCTTGGACATTTCGCGTCATTTTTGGTTCGATTTTTGAAGTACTCTAACTTTTCTTCATTTTGTGTTTCATGGCTGAAACTTCAGTAAATATGTGGGGTTGGATAGGTCTACAATATATATAAAATCGAGAGAAATTGAAGAACTTTCAGTTTTTCATACCTGCCAGAAAATGGTGAATTATTGCGATTTTTACAGACAAGCTCTCTTAATAACCCAGTCTGTGGTTGTTTTAACTAATAAAATATTGGTCAAATAAGTGCATCTGAGACAACCAACCAAAATAGTTTAATTTGGTTTCACTCTGCAGTAGTGTGTAACAGATGGTGGAGAATCAGCCTTTTCATTTGTAGTAGTCTTGTATATAAGTCAAGAAATATAGTGTACTCAAATTAACCTACCAATACCTGATTCTTTTGTTTTAGGACCACAAAGAGAAGTGGTTTCAATATACAATAACGAGTTTCTCACGCCGCTATCCAGACCTCAATATTTCATTGAAGTTTATCGCTGTGTTAAAGTTGACATCGGCGAATGCTCTAGCTCTGGACCGTCTGGGTACCCTGTACCAGAAACAATTGAAAAAATTGAGATAGTGGTTCCGGATACAACGAACAAAGATCGGGATTCTCGCGGTCGAGCTTCTAGCGATAAAAATAAGTTTTATGAATATGTGGTTTATAATCACACGTCTTGTAAATGTGGGACCCTCACGTTCAGAGATAGTACACTGTATAAAATCATAACTAATAACGAAGGTTAGTCCAGCTTACAGTGAGTAAATACCATGCAATTACCTAAAATGATCATGTTTTCTTTCGTAGTTTTATTGTTAAGGGCATCGCCCTTGCTGAGGTGATGAGCAATGGTGACAAAGTATAAAGCATAACTGCGCGCGCAAAATTTGCCCGATGAAAAAAAGGCCTATCTTTGGTTCTCTCCTGTACATCGAGGGATTTTCTCCCTCACCAAAAAGTAACCGTTCCTGCTGCACTCCATGACGTCAACCCAATTGTGCACACGGTAACGTTTTCGAGCGTTTCTTGATAAAAATTCCATCTCTTGCGGCTTTTTATCTCCATTTATTTTCCACCAGATAAAGTCATTACTTGTCAACGAGTTTCTTAAAATGTCCTCTGCTCATTATAATAAATTAAACAGTTTTATATGTATGTTCAGCATTACCGATACGAAGTCTGTCGCTTCTTCGAAACCAAAACACATTTTAATTGTTCATAAATCATTGTACCCTTGAAAGGCAATACATTTTGTTTTATTTGTTGCTAAAGTTTTTAACTTAAGAATTAATGATCTAATGAAAGATTCTAGGCTTCCAGGAAATAAAAATATAATATTTTGATTTTAAGCCGCCATCTAGGATTTTTAGCGTTTCAACGTGAAAACGCTGCCCGAAAACGTTTTTGGCATTCAGAGCGTTTTCGTCATAAGATAACGTTTTTCATTCTTTTTCGTGTGGACAGGCTTGAAACCGATACTTTTTGAAAACGTTACAACTGAAAACGCTCGAAAACGTTATCGTGTGCACACATAAAATTAATATAACTATACATTTATAATGTCTGCTCCCAGGAGCAGTAGCTTTGTTTTCTCGAGAATCTCGATGTTTCCCGATTCGAAATAAAGGGAAACATTGAGATTCGAGGGAAAACAAAACTAACTATTTCCCGAGGGAACAGCCATTAAGTGTTTTGTTATAATATTATTATAGAGACGAACAAAAATCAACATTCAGCAAGCAGACAACAACATTCATACAACAATTGTATTTCGTGACATAAACTCTATAGAGTAAACGGGTTTAAAATTAAATGAAGCTACTTAAGTTAATTCAACTGTTTCGGCAGCATATCCTGGTTCCTGTTGTGTATTTTTCTTCTCTTTTGCATTCTTTATTTGAACACAAACTTGGCAAATCGTAGTTTCCAATTATCCGAATTTTGCCGCCATTTTGTTTATTTCTGTATGTACCCGGTCGGGGCGGGCAACAATTTTTCACTTGTTGCCTGGCGGAAAACATTGCATTTATCGGAAGTCACGTGACCACAAAACAGCCAATCACGTTTGGTGTTCATGCCAGCTATATAACACTGTTATCATTTATTTGTTAACTGCAAGGAAAGGTGATTATTATACTGTAGCTTTAATCTGTATTATACAATTACTTTATGGTTTCCGTGTTTGGATGGCCTGATCCAAACACGCAGGTGTGCTGCGAGAGTCAAGAAAAGCGCGCAAAATCGCGAGCCGAAGGCGTATGATGTTGTGCGCTTTTCTTAACTCGAGCAACATTCCCAAGTGTTTGGATCAGGCCATCCAAACACGGAAATCATAAAATAATTGTTTTATAAAATAACAACTTTCCGTGTTAAAATTTCACTTTAAAAAACTTTCACTTTAATTTTCCGTGTTTGGGTATCCAAACACGGGTTCCGACCAATCAGAGCACGCGTTATATACATGTTATTTTATAAAAATGTTTCTTTCAGTGTCAGAAGGTCATTACAAAACAAAGTATAGGAAAAATCCGATCAATCTGATACATCGGTGTCACAGTCAAGTTTGCAATCCTCAACCAAGACACAGTCTCACCGATAAGCATATCCTCGCTGCCCCACAATCAAAATATCTGGCGTACCAACAGTGCTTGCCTGGCAGTGTGGCGTTAAAAAAACCGCGCAACGATAACGTTTCAATTAACATGATATCTGGTGGAGAGGAGGTTGTCAACGTCTTAAACGATATTTCATGCAAGGCTTATGATGGAGAAAACGCTGAAAATGCCCAAAGATAGAAAAAGATAGAAACCCCATGTTTACGGTAAGAATGCTTATTATTCACGAGTGTATTAGAGTTGAGGGGTATTAGAGGAAGGCATATTAAAGATAGAGGGCTAATTAGAGAGGGGGATAACGACAGGGGGGAGATACTGGAGAAGGGACGTATAACCGAGAGATAGAAGGTTCATTAGAGAGAGAGAGAGAGGGGATTATTACAGAGGACTATTATAGGACATATGAGGATTTACGTAATAGAGAATTGACGAGTAACAGGAATTCTTATGTTTCTGTTTAGCGGCAAGTTATGACATTCTAAGTTACATTGCTTCAGCCAAAGATATCTTCGCAGCTTTTCTACCGTCGTTGGTACAATTTAACGCTATTTAATATATTTATTATGGACTTGACTCTTTGGCGTCGAAAGGATTTCTTTACGCTTTGCTTGGCTGTTAAAATGGTGTCGCGGATCGCTCTTGTAAACGAAGATCTGGTTCACACGTCGAACTTTTCATGTGTCGAGCCAAGGAGCCGAAACAATAAGTTTAAAACATTAATGTTAGCTACGGGTCATAATTAGACTTGCTTCAAGATTCGCTCTTCTTTCTGGACAGCGTGTTAGGAGATCAGTTGTTCCTTTCAAGCTATGCACACTGGTCTCGTAATTGACTGGATAGACTGTCTCAAAACTGAATTCGAGGGAGACTTGGATCGAAGAAGTCTAGCTCTTGATAAGCGCGACGTTTGAGTTAAACATAAAAGATTTGTGACGAAACAAATTAATAGAAGCATGTTTAATTTAGTGATTGGTTAACTCAAATACGAGTGATAAATGTTCATTATATATTCCATCTTTAAAAAAGGTGTTATTTAGTTTTATTGTGTTTCATTGTTATTTGTAAGCCAATCACAGAACTTGTTCATGTTGATAAGTTCAAAATAATGAAATTTTGTATACATGTATTAATGATTGATTAATTGATTGAAATATGTTTTATAACACAAAATAGTGCAAAAATACTATAAACTTGTGGGTTGTGACCCTCGGAATAATATAAGACCAATGCATGAATGTATATATAATTTAGATAGATAGGCTTATTCTAAAGTAGAAATCATGTAGAAACAGTAAAAAGCTAGTTAAAATCTTCATGTTTGTGCATGAATATATTTCTCTGATTTATAATTTTTATTACTCGCTGGGGCACTCTGTGTCCCAGACGAGTATAGGTTTCGGCTTGCATTTTTCTTGGATAGTGGATCGTCGATAGCCACAAAATAGAATATTAACGAGCTGCTTGATCCTTTTCCAAATGGCGGGGCCTTTCGTGGAGTGGGCAAAATGTTTCACTATTTTGGGCCCCATTCCGTGAAAATTTTGAACAAATTGTACCTGTTTTCTAACTCTGAAATTGTGTCTAACTCTGGACATTTTTGCTAGTTTATTTAATGCGTTTTTCTTGGTGCACGACTCTGAAAATCCGAAATTTGGATCGTTGAATTCCCGTGAACGATCATAATATACTGAATATGAATAATTATAGACGAGCCAAAGACAATTTCAAGGTAAAAGGTTATAACCTAAACTGCACAACGTAGTTTTAATAAATAACTAATTTATGAGAAGCATATTGGTGTCATATCAATAAAGATGTATCGAACAACAGTCCGTGAAAACTGTAGTGTACTCAGTGTGAAATATGATACTGTATTTGTAATGCCTATTAATGGCGCAATAAGGATAAAAATACCACCGTTCGATTCAGCGTAAGAAATTGTACTTACGGATGTCAAATGTATTACTAAATACCAGTATTCTAGCGATTTATGGCCTTTGAAAATCAAGCGAAATTGTATTTTTAGATATTCAGACAGTACATCATATTTTAAAAAATACAGCAGTTCAAAATGTAAACAAACCGTTTGTTTACATTACGGCCACGGACTTGACTTCCACGCACGTATAACTTTAAATCTGTTTAAATGTTACTTATAAAACAAGACGCTCTCTCGAGCGTTAAGTTGCTGGGGCTTTTTAAATAGGCGCCTGCGTGATTTGCAACGAGCGGTAAGAGTATATTCAACGATTTGTGGGCTTGATTTGTAATTGTACATAAGTTTA